GGTGATGCAAGAAGTGGGCAGCCAAAAATGCAAAGGACGGATGCAAATGTGGACACAATTCAAACCCTGGTACGCTCAGATCGAAGATTGAGTATGCGAATAATGGCAGAAGAATTGAACATAGGGAAACAGAACAATGGATTCGAACAGAGGATACAGGAATGAGAGATTTCCGCAAAGATGGTGCCTCGAATTTTGACATAAGATCAGAAGAGATCCTGCCTTCAAATTTCATCTGATCTTTTGAAAAATGCAGGTGTGCTTGATATTTTTTTTTGTACAGTCCGTTCTAGGAATTAAATTATTACACCTTCCCCCTTATCGTCCTTGGAATCTTACAATCAAGCTGTGTCCCTCTGTTGAAAATATCTCTTCTGTTCAGTGTAAATAGAATGTATCTCATCTAAAGACCTTTTGGAGGCCGATGACTTAATATGAATGTTACATACACCACTGACTTGTTTTAGTTTACTTTGTTTCCTTTGAGCTGTTAGAGGTCTTGGCTATACAGGTCTAGAACTGAGTGAGTTTTATGCTCTTTGACCCAGAACAAAAACAATTCAGGAGTTATGACTTTACTCGCTGGTTACATATTCTGGGACAGGTTTCCTTCAATCTGGCTGATACTACGGTACCAGTTCAGCTCTTTGGACATACATAGTACATCCCCAGAGTGAACCTTTAATCACAAACTAATTGCTGGAGTAGCAGCCATCAGTGTGTACAGGTGTTAAGCCGCCTCCCCCGTTTGACAGTGAAAGTGATGCGGCAGTGCCAAAGCTGCCATTCACTTTCATAGAGCTAGCAGCAGGGGGCACATGATTGCGAATGGTGTCTTTGCACAGGAGTGCCTCAAACCCACAGAAAACAATGGGCAAAATGGAGAAGAATAAATTATTTCGGAGGACCACAAAATGGCAGCATTTTGATAATTAACATGTCATTCTAAACAATTAAAGCTTATGACTAAACACATCTTTATTTTACTGAAAATGTCAACTGGAATGGTTGTTTTACCTCATTTACTATGTCAGAAGAGGGTATTGGGCTGAGAGGTGAGGAAAGTGAATCTTCCGATTGGGAGCTGCAGGAGCTTCGCTTTACTAGAAAGAAAGAACATACAAAAATTCAAACAATGAAAATGCAACCATGGCCATATATGTATGTGTATGGAAGAAAAAAAAAAAAAAAAAAATCTATATATACTGGTGATATAACCTACCAGTATCACTGCTGGAAGATAAAGGTCTTTCTGTCCCAACTGCATCATGTCCACTACTATGTCGTTTCTCTTCTTGTGCCTGGCAGGAATAGCATAAAATGAACATTTCATTAAAACTGCAGCTTGCAACTATGTAGAAGAAACATCCATAGTGCCATCTACTGGCCACCCAGTGCACAGCTGTTTATATAGATAAGTTGGAAGCCTGTTACAATCAATGGATCTGTAATGCAAAACTGAAAATGCCTGGTTTTGCAGCCTTTCTGCGCAGCTAACTTTATTATCTAGGATAAAATGACACTCCAGCAACACATACACACTTATTTTAGGATGATTTATGTCAATACTAGAGCAGACAGGATATGAGGTTTGTACTGGAAAAAGTGTGTGTGTGGATAGATAGAGACACCCCTACTGAGCTGCTGGACTTTTTGGTCCCCATATTCTTGCACAGCCAGGCAACTTGCATTTTCAGCAGGCACATGTAGTCAAAAGTCCAGTCCATGGGCTTGTTTTTGTTGTTTTATTGAGGGGGAAAACAACTTGGATGGTGATAAGGGAATACGGGATGCCCAAGCTGACTTGCAAAAAAAAAAAAAAAAAAAAAGGACAAACTTCCTTCTCTATGTACACAAAATTATGCAGATCCTGGACTGTACTCCCTCTGGAATAATCAGTAGCAAAGTTTCCTCTCTTAAGAGCTCTATGTCTCCTGAATGAGACTCACAAAGTTCCAACCCTTCGTAAGAAAATACCAGCCCACCTGAGTGCTTTGTGAGGTTTCGCAGAGCAAGGGATTTAGGTTAGCTGTGACACTGTCTCTGTGAAAGCATGCTGGATATTGCATCTGGCAGTCTTCTTGCAGGTAAAAGCACAGAAAACAAGTGTTTTAACTTTACTTGCAGAGTCTTTTTCCATAAATTAATTTTTTTTTTTTGTGTTTTTTTTTTAATCACTTGCTATGGGCAGTTTAACTTGCTGGAAAAATTGACCAGTTAATTCCCTAGCACAGCCCCTTTCTTCCTTCTGAAAGCCCTCTCTTCTGTGTGTCTAAAGACTCTGTGCTGGTTTAACCCTGTCATTGCCAGATCAATTTGTTGTACAGAGGTTTTTATACATACACTATATTGCCAAAAGTATTGGCACAACCCCCTCCAAATCATTGGATTCAGATGTTCCAATCACCCCCATCGCCACAGGTGTATAAAATCAAACAGCTAAGCATGCAGACTGCTTCTTCAAACATTTGTGAAAGAATGGGTCGCTCTCAGGAATTCAGTGAATTCAAGCGTGGTACCGTGATAGACTTATTGCACGGGTGACAACCTATCTGAGAAATTTCCTTGCTACTAAATATTCCTCGGTCAACTGTTAGTGGTATTATAACAAAGTGGAAGCAACTGGGAACAACAGAAACTCAGCCACAGTGGTAGGCCACGTAAAAACAACAGCGTGGGGTCAGCACATGCTGAAGCGCACAGTGCACAGAAGTTGCAAACTGTCTGCAGGGTCAATAGACTTCCAAACTTTGTGTGGCCTTCAGTTTAGCACAACAGTGCATAGAGAGCTTCATGGAATAAGTTTTTATGATTGAGCAGCTGCATCCAAGCCTAACATCACCAAGCAATGCAAAGCATCGGTTGCAGTGGTGTACAGCATGCCACCACTGGACTCTAGAGCAGTGGAGACATGTTCTCTGGAATGACGAATCACAATTCTCTGTCTGGCAATCTGATGGACGTGTCGGTTTGGCAATTTCCAGGAGAATGGTACTTGCCTGACTGCATTGTGCCAAGTGTAAAGTTTGGTGAATTATGTGTAATTATGGCGTGGGGTTGGGCTCGGCCCCTTAGTTCCCGTGAAGGGAAATCTTAAGGCGTCAGCATATCAAGACATTTTGGACAAATTTCAAGTTCCCAACTTTGTGGGAACAGTTTGGGGATGGCCTCTTCCTGTTCCAAAATGACTGCACACCAGTGCACAAAGCAAGGTCCATAAAGACATGGATGAGTGAGTTTGGGGTGGAGGAACTTGACTGGCCTTAATCTGACAGAAAAACTTTGGGATGAATTAGAGTGAAGACTGCGAGCCAGACCTTCTCGTCCGACATCAGTGCCTGACCTCACAAATGTGCTTCTGGAAGAATGGTCAAAACATTCCCATAGACACTCCTAAAGCTTGTGGACAGCCTTCCAACAAGAATTAAAGCTGTTATAGCTGCAGAAGGTGGGCCAACTCAATATTAAACCCTACGGACTAAGACTGGAATGCTATTAAAGTTCATGTGCGTGTAAAGGCAGGCGTTCCAATACTTTTGTCAATATAGTGTAGTTCGGTGGCTGCAGTCACCGGAGGGGGGGGGGGGGGGGGTCTGTCTGTCTGTCCACCAGCTGTCAGATGGAAGCAATCCAGCAGCTGTCAAATAAGAAACTGCAGCGATTAAAATAACAGTCCTGGCCGTCCCAGTCCTTCACTGCTATGCGTATGGCTAGAGTGTTGTTCTTAGGCTGGCCAATTGTAAGAACAACACTCTAGCCATACACATAGCAGTGAAGGACTGCGATGGCCAGTACCACCACTTTTCAGAGGGAGGATTATCCTTGGCCTGGCTCATATCCTATTCCTAAAAGGGGACCTCCACTGATTGATTTAATGCGTATTACCATTACGCATCTGGTGAGTGTGTATTCTTACCCCACTATTTTGGCGCACCAGCACTGAAGTATTGCTGCCGTTCACCATATACCTGCACAGGATTGTCACTTATGGACTAATACCGTTTAGCTGCCATTCATTTAATATAATTTTAAAGCAAAGTTCACGTTTCTTCAGAAAAAAGCTTATGCCATCAAGTGGCCCCACCAGATATGACAGCCTGCGTGGCTTTGTAAAATGTTCATTCATTTTAATTGTCACACTTCTAAGGCCATTTGACCATTTCCCCCTGGAAGCCTGGCCTGAAAAATCCCCAGCTCACAATCCCCACAGAAGTCATACTCCTGTAATGCTGGGAATGAATATCCAACAGTTTTCACATCCTAGTGCCAAAGAAGGATGTGGGGATTGCCAATTTGGAGATTTTCAACAAGGCAAAGGCATGACAATAAAATTTTTGAACATTTTGCAAGGCTGCAGTTTTTTAATGTCTACTGCACCCCCTTAACAGCATAGGCTATTCACTGTTAAAGGTAAATTTGGCCTTTAATTCCTCCAATTACCTCCCTACATAACCTTTTACACAACTGCCAGGGAAGTGGAATACTGTACAGTGTCGTTGAGTGACACCACTGAGTCTACTGTGGCTGTAGTCTTAGGCCTTTTGGATGTGTACATAAGGGAAGCTTTTACAGGTAAATAACATGCACAAAGTGCTAAATTCAAATATATTATTACAGAAAGATCTTAATTGAAACGATGGTCGGTGACATGTTCTATTTAAATGGGAAGTTCGATATATAAAGATTATTTTCTTTAAAAGAGAAAGAGTGGAAAATGCAATAGGATTCAACCAAATCTATCCTTTGTTTTGTCAAACAATTGCCAAAAGATCACCTAAAATATCAAGTCTAATCAAATGTCCATGTTAACCCCAGCATTAGACACCATCTCTCTCCCTTATATAATCTGTAATTAAAGCAAGTACGGTTACGGAAGACAACTGGGAGAAAATCAGTCCCATTCTGATGGATAATGGGACCCCAACCCACTGTCAGCATAAATGAGTACTTACTATTGGCAAGTCTTTCAACTGATGCTTTCCATCCCCAGGACCAACATGTACCAAATGATTAAAGTTCTTAGGACTGGAGATTAGCTTTGATCTCAATTGAGGATCTTTCATCATAACCCTGCATGACACCAGAGGAAAACTATTATATTTGCAATTAACAATGTATCTACATTAAAAGCAGCAACATTTTGTAAAAAAAAAAAAAAAAAAAAAAAACCTGCTATAAAGCTGCACACGTAAGTAATCAAAACCACATTAGTTAACTAGCTTGATTTCATAAGAAATTGGTGCTGTCAGACTGGCCAAAGCTTTATGCCAAACAAGTAAAGGGTCTCTGTTGTAAATGAATAGATAAAGGACTGTTGTGAGAAAAGAAGCTTCCTGGCTATCATATGTGAGCACCACCTACTTCACCATTCAGTTCAGCATGAAACCGTGTGGGGAGCAAGATGGCAGCCAAAAGAGGATAGTGCCAAAAAAAAGAAGCGAAATAGGAAAAACTGACTTCATGGTGAAGGTTAAAGTGCAACCAAAGCCAAAATGTTTTTCAAATTTTATGTATATTAGCAAAGGTTAGAACCACTGCAAGGTTTTTACTGGTTCCTGCGTCACCACTGGGCATTTTTTTCCTGCACATCCAAACTGATGGGAGGTCTCCCTTCACAATAAATAAAACCTTCAGTCTTTAGAATAAAATCTAGAAACTTAGTCTGCTTTTCGCTATTGCCCTGCCTACCCCTATTTCACCAACAGGTACACACAGCAATTAAAAGCAGACAGATTATACCCACTCTAAAGAAAATAAATACAAAAAAAAAAGGCACAAGTTAAATTTGAAGGATGTACAGTGTAAAGAGCCATAATCCTGCTCATTCTTCGGTTGAAATTCTCTAAGCCTCAGTTCATACCTGGTGTCTTGCGGTATTCATTCATTTTGAATAGCAACCCAAATACGAACACAGCTCACTTCAGCACACATGTGTTGTAACTTATAACACAGGGGTGTGAATGATCAATGTGTTTCTTTTATAAGAAATGTCTTCTGCACAATTTTGGCTTTTGAACACAGTGGTGTGATAAAGTATGTCCGACACACATGTATTAAGGCAATGCAAAGGGGACTGAAACAGGGAGGACTCAGAAGGGATAGATAACACTGTTCAACAAATTTTTATTTTTTGCCAGTTTTGGAAACAAAAGGATCCATTTCTTAATGAATTTCACATTCTGAGTTCAAATATAACAATGAAATTTGTCAATTGGCTCTAGTTTTTCTGTAAACGGAAAGTTTTCTACTATAGGCGTAATGACTACATAATGCACAATAATTATATAGATAGATGTCTTTCCACAAATATAAAGCAAGTGATATTGACTACATAACAAAGCCTAAATGGCATAATATATTGCATAGGATTACCAAGAAAAATTATAGCCATAAGCTAAGTTGAATCATTTTAATACTTAGGATTCTCACTAGTTTTGTCTTCAGTTTGTGTCGGTTTTGCTTCTCTTGGCTTTTCTCTTGTATTCGAGGAAAGGGCTCTCTCTTACAACTGCACGTGACTACACGCTTCAGGTTCTTCCTCACTTGACTCAACCACGAAGGATTCTGGTGCTTTAGGAATTGGTAGCCCCTCTCCATGAGGAACTGGACGTATTGCCGATGGAATATTTGGATAGTGCACAGATAACTTTTTCTTCTTATTTAGCCCTTTTACAATTGGAGGCACCATACAAAAGTAACAATTACTAACATGATCTGTTGGCTCTCTCCAAATCATTGGCACAGCGAAAGGCATAGATGCCTTTTTTTTTCCATTCAACCATTGCTCTAGTGCCATCCCACAAGAATTGCAGCATATATGTGGTGCCCAGCTCTTGTCCGGGCCTCCTATCTTGCAGCCAAAATACAAGTTGTAGGCTTTCTTAATCATTCCTGTTATCCTCCTTTTTTTGTGAGATAAAAGTTATTTCACCGCAGATATAGCAGAAATTATCTGCTTTATTCACACAAGTTCGAGGCATTACTGAGTAGCCTATATAAGCATAAAACGAAATGTAAAGACGCTGTCGAACTACAATCAGCTACAGATACTGCAGCTTTTATGCAGTGAAGTGATGCAATTAAAGGCTAATATCGCATCATCTCAGTATACATGCAATTTTCTATTGGTCACCAGTATCAATTGCGCAATATGCAGCTGAAGTTGCATCATAATTTTGAATGGCTTACGTCATTAGATGGGTGAATATATCATGGAAACTAGAGCCAATCAACATTTTTTAGGGTCATTTTCGTTTTCAGCACCCCAAAATTATGTAAGATTAGCTAATTTTATGCCCAAAACTTTTTACCTGTTGAACAGTGTAATCAGTCAACAGAGTCATTTTAACTTCCACTATCTGCCCTAGCCAAACGAAACCGAAACATGGAACAATTGTTTAAAACAGGTAAACAAAGTACCTGGGCGCAGATACTGTAGTATTTAACGGTTCTCCTAGGCAGGGCTCAAATAAGCCTCATATGAAGAACTAGCGGGGGGGGGGGGGGGGGGACACTATGGGGTTACTTACTTTACCTGAGCGCAATCTTGATCCAGCGCTGTGCACGAGAGCAGAGGCTCTCTCCACGCTCTCCCTCCTTACATGACAGCTTGCTAGCAGTGGGATCCATTGGCTCCTGCTGCTGTCAATCGAATCCTTTGATGAGGGAGCAAGGGATGGAACAAAGCCTCGCTCGTCTGTGTCTATGCACACAGGCAGCAGGGCTCGGGAGCGAGTGTGCACAAGTACCCCCTTAGCAAGTGGCCTGCTAGGGGAGTACATGGCAGGAAACAGGAGCGCATCGGGGGACCTGAGAAAAAGTAGGATCAGGGCTGCTCTGTGCAAAACCATTGTACACAACAGACAAGTATAACGTACAAAAAAAAAAAAAACAGTTTAAAAATCACTTTAATCTCACCCTAGAGAACTGATAAACGGTGGAAAATGGGCCTAAAACTAAATATTTTTGTTTGCTAACAAAGTGGATGTTTGCAGAGCAGAGAGACAGCAACTAATGATATAGCAGGGACAACTATTTTCCATCACTTTGCCCTTTTACTTTGCATTTCATTATTTCTCTGTCCAGTTATTTGCATGTTCTCCTTTGGAAAGGAACTTCTGTTAGTTAACAGTGTAAGTTATAACACCACCTTCTCTGCTGCTGCCGCTCCTCATCTGTAATCCGGAAAGAGAAATGCCTCTTGCTTTTTGTCTTCAGCAGCTGTCGCCGACTGTTGTCTGATGTCTCCGGCACTTCAAACTCATCTTGATCTGCAGGGAAAGTTAAACCACCAGCCAATTTAAAAAATTTACAGAAGTAGTACAGAATAACTGTAATCACAATAAGGTGCTAACAAAACTAGAGTTACCTTGGGCATTGATATGTATCCTGATAAAATACGTATACAAATACCATAGTTGGTTAGGTCTCTTTCACATGGGGAATGCTGTTGACTCACCATCCGCAGTAGATTGCTTTGTCAGCAGAAGTTAACCCGTGGTTAGGAGACTTCTCCAGCATGCCTATTTGAAGAGGGATTTTACACTGAAATGCCTCTTCATTGTGCTGCAAACGCATCCACAAGACAAGGTTGCAGTGCACCACCATTCACTTCCATCAAGCATGTTGCCTAAAGTGACATGCCCAGCTTTCTTTTGGCATGCACCTATGGCAGTGTCTTTAGGGTCATCCAGGGGTAAATTCTGGGTTTTGACAGGTGGCTAAATTGAAATGATCTGTCAACTGCCCAGTTTGTCGCACTGACAATATCCATTTTAAAGTGGCCTTAAAACATCTTCTCTAAACATTATTAAAATGACTCAATATTTTAAGCCAAGCCTACTAGATATTAGGTGCTAGCTGTGGCTTAAGGCAATGGTCCAAGTTTCTTGAATATTTGAATTATGCATACTTTTCTTGAATAAAGAGTGGCTTTGTTAATTCTCTAAACATGTTATGTTATGTGATAGGACACATTTTTTCTTAAAGATAACACCATATTTTACATGTTTCGAAAATAAAAAGCAAAAATAGAAAAAGGAAAATGTGCACTAACCTGCTAATTTATTACGTAGATACACTAAGCGAACTTTCTCTGTTCCAAAAACACAGAGAGATCCCTCTTGATTTAAGGATCGAACCTATTGGGAAAGTGAATGTATATTACACATATAACAAATAAGAAAAATAACAAATCTCATTTCATCTAAACTAAACTAAAACAGATCAGTTGCCAGACTTTATTATGGAGTTTTACATTTCCTGGGGTCTCATGATGACTGAGATTTTAAAGCTTCATAGAACTGTATATCATTTTCTTTTACAGAATTATTTTAAAATTACCAGTGCCAAATGTGTAGAATATATAAAATCTAGAACATGCCAAGCAGTGAAGTTAAAATAACAGCAAGTTTACGGGTGTACCATGGAAGTCATAATAGCAAGGATTTAGTAGTAAGTCTATAAATCATGTATTATTGAACATGGGCACATCAAGGTTACCTCCTTAATGATGTGACTTAAAGGCTAAGTTCACCTTTTGAAAAAGATAAGAATTAATAAATGCACATTTTTTTAACATGCATTCATTTTCTATGGAGCCTGCAGAGCCTTGCACCCACAATCAGAAGGGGCCCAAAATCCAAGGAGCACCTCCAGGTCTTCTAGGGGAATAAATTACACATCTAGTTTCCTGAATAGCTATCACATTTTTGGAGGCCCTGGAGGACCAGGGCAGTGGACATACCTACAGAATGACCATACTGTGTAAAGCAAAATCCCCAAGGTAAACTTTTTATCAGGGCTATTTGGATGATTTCTGTTATCATTAAAATGTAAAAGGCGCCAAACAACTAACATAAATCACCCAAATAGCCCCGATTAAAAATTAACATTCCCTGGAATGTTTACCCTTCGTACAGACATACAAGGTGACACACATGGGTTAAAGTGGCAACTAAATGCTAATTTCCCACATCTGTGGCTTTTTAAATTGCAATTAGTGTATGTGTATAAATAGTCAGTTTGTTAGCTCTCACATGGATGCAATGAGCAGGCTAGATACTGAGCCATGAGGAACAGAAAATAACTGTGAAAAGACCTGCATAACAAGGTAATGGAGCTTTATCAAGATGGAAAAGGATATAAAAAGATATCTAAAGCCTTTAATATTGTCAGTCAGTGCTGATCAAACAATTATTAAAAAGAGGAAAGTTCTGAGATCTCTTGATACCAAGCCCAGATCAGGTAGGCCGATAAAGATTGCAGTCACAACTGCCAGTAGAATTGTTCTGGATACAAAGAAAAATCCACAGGTAACCCAATGAGAAACGCAGGCTGCTTTTGTTTCAAGGAGCACAATAAGACTATACTTGAGCAAAGCCATGATACTGTGCTACATGGACAAGTTTCCAGAAAAAAAGCCTTTACTGTGCCAATGCCACCAAAAAGCCCTGTGACTCATGTCAAGGTGTTGTAAGGCATATTGTAACTGGGCTTTTTTGTGGCATTGGTGCAGTAAAGGCATCTTTCTGCCAACTTGATCATGCAGCTCATTTTTGTTCAATTAGTGTCGTATTGTGTTTCTTAAATAAAAAACAAAAAAAAACCACACCAACTTTTTCCAGAGCAGAGTGTATTTCTCCTGAGGTTTCCTGTGGGATTTTCTTTTTATATCCTTTTCCATCGATTATACATTTTCCATCCTGTTCCATTACCTTGTTATGCAGGTCTTTTGACAGTTCTTTTCTGCTCCCCATGACTCAGTATCTAGCCTGCTCAGTGCATCCATGTGAGAGCTAACAAATTCACTGACTATTTACAGTATACACAGATAGTGTGTGAATGAGATATAGAAAATCTGCGTTGGTTCAAAATGTGATCTAATACAAAGAATTTAACAGATGTAAATATATTAGTGTAGCGCTAAAAAGAGAAATAAATAAAAATGATAATAGTGCAATCCCAGCAATTACCATGTGAAACAAAATGTGACAGTAGTCAAATACTTAGCAATCTTACTAGGATATATATAAAAAGTTACACGTGTATGCTCGTGGCCATCTTGCAAGTGGTAATATGTGGATCTTTCGGATTTAACAACGCTGCATTTTATCTTGGAGTTTGTAAGTGCATTCTTATAGCTTAATAAATCATTTTAAGATGAGTTTACACTATGGGAATTTAATGCACATGCCACCTTTGATACCTGATAGCATATGACCTAACCGTCACTACGGAGTGGATGAATGCTATTTGTGCCGTATTGGAGTTTCTCAAGAAGGCATGACTCAGCGTCATTCGTTAATATTGAGCTGTTTTTGACCATCCTATAATTTGATGGTCAAATATATCTGGTAAGCTTCTGAGCACAGAGTGGAGTGACGGGTTTGCACGGATACCACTTCAATACTTCGCTACCGAAGACTCACGTTTGAACTTGTGACTTACTTTTATGGAATTGGGACACATTTTTAAGGTTTTTCACATATACAATTTGTACCTTATATAAATCCTAGTAACATTGCTAAGTACTTGACTACTGTCACACTGCGTTTCACATGGTAGCTGGGATTGCACTATTTTATTTATTTCTCTTTTTAGCGCTACACTAATACATAAATAATTTATACACATACTAATTGCAATTTAAAAAGTCACAGATGTCAGAAATTTACCTTTAAATTGCCATTTTAACCTATGTGTGTCACTTTGTGCGTCTATACCAAGGTCAAACATTCCAAGGAATAACTTTTGATCAGGGCTATTTGGATGATTTTGGTTATCATTATGATTTAATAAGGAGCCAAACAACTATGTGATAATAAGTGGCTTCATATGATCACTAACCCTAATTAAAAAGGCAGTTTTCTGGCATGATCAGTCATATTTTCAATATAAAGGCTTACGTTGGTGTAGTGATACTGCAACTGGTGTGGCGGTGATCAGGGGCAACATGACTGGTGTGGCAGTGATCAGGGGCAACATGACTGGCGTGGCAGTGATCGGGGGCAACATGACTGGCGTGGCAGTGATCGGGGGCAACATGACTGGCGTGGCAGTGATCGGGGGCAACATGACTGGCGTGGCAGTGATCGGGGGCAACATGACTGGCGTGGCAGTGATCGGGGGCAACATGACTGGCGTGGCAGTGATCGGGGGCAACATGACTGGCGTGGCAGTGATCGGGGGCAACATGACTGGCGTGGCAGTGATCGGGGGCAACATGACTGGCGTGGCAGTGATCGGGGGCAACATGACTGGCGTGGCAGTGATCGGGGGCAACATGACTGGCGTGGCAGTGATCAGGGGCAACATGACTGGCGTGGCAGTGATCAGGGGCAACATGACTGGCGTGGCAGTGATCAGGGGCAACATGACTGGCGTGGCAGTGATCAGGGGCAACATGACTGGCGTGGCAGTGATCAGGGGCAACATGACTGGTGTGGCAGTGATCAGGGTTATTATGACTGGTGTAGCAGTGATCAGAGGCAACATGACTGGTGTGGCATTGATCAGGGTTATTATGACTGGTGTGGCCATCAGTGACACTGTGAATGGGTGGCGGTCACTGGGGACACTAACTGGCAGCACTGGTCTGGTGACATTGTACTGCTGTGGCGGGCAGTGATAAGATTATGGCTGGCGACCCTGACATACGATATCAAAGCAGCCAGCCATTGTACATGATCACCTCCAAAACAGTATGAGGTCATCATAATGTAAAAAAGTTTTTTGCACTGATTGCTTATACAGCCATAAAGGCAGTAAAGACAAATGTTTCTAATTGTTTTCGGCTGCATTCCTGCAGCTATTGAGAACTACTGTGATAAGCTGTGATTGGCTACAGCTATTACATGGTACAGGGAGGTGGTGCTTGGCCCTGTACCATGAAAATCACTATGCCAATTGCAGACATCACAGTAGTTCTGAATAGCTACAGTTGCAAGAAAAAGTATGTGAACCCCTTGGGATTACGTGGAGTTTTGCATGAATTGGGCATAAAATGTGCTCTGAACGTCATCTAAGTCACAACAATAGAAGAACACAGTCTGCTAAACATAATACTACACAAACATTAGATGTTGCCATGGTTTCATTGCACATAACATGTAAACATTCACAGTGCAGGGAGGAAAAAAGTATGTGAGGCCCTAGCTTAATGACTTCTCCCAGTGCTAATTGGAGCCAGGAGTGAGCCAACCTTGTGATGATATTGGATGTGTTGCTGACAGCTGTCCTGCCCTTAAAAACCACACACCTGTTTTGGGTTTACTGGTTTCAAGAAGCACTGTCTGATGTGAACCATGCCTTGCAGAAAAGAGCTCTCAGAAGACCTACGATCAAGAATTGTTGACTTGCATGAAGCTGGAAAGGGTTACAAAAGTATCTCCAAAAGCCTTGATGTTCATTTGTCCATGGTAAGACAGACTGTTTACAAATGGAGAAAGTTTAGCACTGTTGCTACTCTCCCTAGGCGTGGTCGTCCTGTAAAAATGACTGCAAGAGCACAGCGCAGAATGCTGCATGAGGTAAAGAAGAATCCCAGAGTGTCAGCTCAAGACCTACAGAAATCTCTGGCACATGCTAACATTTTTGTTGATACATCTACAATAAGGAACACATTAAACAAGAATGGAGTACATGGGAGGACACCACGGAGGAAGCCATTGCTGTCCAAAAAGAATATTGCAGCACGTTTGAAGTTTGCAAAAGAGCACCTGGATGTTCCACAGCACTACTGGCAAAATATACTGTGGACAGATGAAACCAAAATTGAGTTGTTTGGGAAGAACACACAACACTATGTGTGGAGAAAAAAAGGCACAGCACACCAACATCAAAACCTCATCCCCACTGTAAAACATGGAGGAGGGAGCATCATGGTTTGGGGCTGCTTTGCTGCCTCAGGGCCTGGACGGATTGTTGTCATTGATGGGAAAATGAATTCCAGAGTTTTTCAAGACATTTTGCAAGAAAACGTACAACCATCTGTCCGCCAACTGAAGCTCCGCAGAGGATGGGTGATGCAACAGGACAATGACCCAAAGCATACAAGTAATTCAACAAAACAATGGCTGCAACAGCACAGAATACGCCTTCTGGAGTGGCCCAGTCAGAGTCCTGACCTCAACCCGATTGACCTTAACGGAGCGATTCACACCAGACATCCCAAGAATATTGCTACACTGAAACAGTTTTGTGAAGAGGAGTGGTCCAAAATTACTCCAGATCGTTGTGCAGGTCTGATCTGCAACTACAGGAAACGTTTGGTTGAGGTTATTGCTGCCAAAGGAGGGTCAACCAGTTATTAAGTCCAAAAGTTCACCTACTTTTTCCTCCCTGCACTGTTAATGTTTACATGTTATGTGCAATGAAACCATGGCAATATCTAATGTTTGTGTAGTATTATGTTCAGCAGACTGTGTTCTTCTATTGTTGTGACTTAGATGACGTTCAGAGCACATTTTATGCCCAATTCATGCAAAACTCCACGTAATCCCAAGGGGTTTACATACTTTTTCTTGCAACTGTATGTGAATGGCAGCCACCTTTACTACTGATGCTTGGTACTTATATTGGTGATCTGCTGTGCCCCCCAGGGTTTTGCATGAGGCACAGATCTGGGAGGATGTACAGGTATGTTCCCCCCAGATCGACACTTGCCAACTAGATTAAATAAATCATCATATGCATGAGGAAGGGTTTCTGCGCGATCATACGAGAATAAAAATCTTGTCTGTGTGCTGGCAAAATATTTCTATGTTGTACATCGTGAACAGATGACACCCATTTAACCACATGGTCAATTTCAGTACAATGTGCAAAAGGAACATGCCACATGCCTTTTATTAATTCAGAGCAGGATCTACTCCACAAACTTAGCTTAGAAAAGTGGTGCAAGAAAAGAGTCTACACCAATATCTGTTAATTCCCCCCATGGTCTTCAATTCACACTAGCAGCTGGAGCATGCCCTGTGTACACATTCAACTTTTTAGTAGGCCTTATCTGCAGTATAGTTTGGAAACTTTTCTAAAATCCAGGCAAACAACTAAAGACACAATAATGAAAACATATATGGGAGAGTTTTCACCTTCCAAAGAATTTGTATTTTTCTTTCTATCCCTGCAATTTCCACAGCTATGCGACACCATAGCCAGTTATAGAACAACACCTACATTAATTTAAAAAATCTAAAATAATAAAATACACTGGTCCTCTTTACCCTAAACCTCCTAACTATACAGTAGAAGAGCACCAGACTGCTGAGATTACTCCACTGATGGCTCTGTTCCTTCTTCATGTCAATATGTTTCTTGTCAATATATTTGAATAAAGCTCCCAGTCCTGCCCCTCACTCTTCCAAGTACGAGTGCTGCTATACAGTATGTAGGATTACAAGAGGCGGATAACAAGTAAAAAAAAGCTATAGCTGCCTTAAGTTCAAATTTAAAAGCAGCCTACGTTTGTGCATGTAATGCAAAGTGACCAAACTATGCTGGAGTAATGTCTGTGTGGCGGAATATGAACTAACAGCAATCATGTGAAGTGCCCTGGTTTCCTGTAGCTGACTAGGACAAACCTGTGTGCTTCATGAAGGACTAAAATAATGAATAAGGCAGTTCTCTCGCATTGACAGATGTATGTACATGATGAAAAAGCTTACCTTCTTGAGATGAACAGTTTGGATCCACTCGCTTTTTCGTACATCAAATATATCCACTGCATTTTCACTGAAAATGGTCAGGTGAGGAGACGTGTATGCTGGAAGGAAAACAAATCTGTTATACTCCATTTTCCATTCATCCTGACTTCACACTTAACAGTGAAGGATCCACAAGCAAATGTACATTTTTTTTTTTCCTAAACATGTATTACAATCAAAACATTTTGCCGTATTGGATGGAGTAGGGAAGAATAACCTGTATACATTTTTTATTGCTGTGCCCTCCTTGGGTAGGATTCACCCACTCTATTTATCCACTGTCCCCAGCACTGAAAGTGAGGAAAATATAAACTTTTGAGTTGTGTCTAAATAGAAACACAGGTTAACTCTTTAAATGGGGACACACTGGAGCTCGTCTAAACAACTGTCTAAATGGGAAATACCTCTTAGGTTGCAGAAATGTCCTTTCACATTCTGTTGCATCTCTGGAACAGGAAGTGAAATTTCCCAACAGGGCGCAAAAAAAATAAGGGTTTAAACCCTTTAATATCCATACAAAAAAACTAAAACGGTAAAAAACCAAATCGAGCATATAAAACTAGTTAACCTCAAGCACTAGAAAGTATTTCATTGTGGGATGTTCTGGCTGGTAAAAGTGGCCAAGATTTATTGGTATGAGCTACAGGTCAACTGAAATGGTTTTAACCTCCAAAATACCACCTAAACCGAAAAACTTGGCCACAATAATATTAATATATTAGGCTTTCATTCTATTCTATTGTAAATGACAGCAAATAATCCCACTCCCACATAAATAAAAGCAGGAGCCATAATAAACTTTACTAGGATTATGAAATATTCTTTCCATTTTGACAGACAAGCACAAACTGCTATCTGGCACAAACACTAACATGTCAGCCTACTTGAAGCAATTGGTCTTGTGAGTAAAAAAGGAATGGCTTTCCAACAGTGGAAATTGCACTTTACCATTTCCACTTTGCTTATACATTTCAAAACACATGGTATATTCCATTCTTGATATACAGATGAATAATTTGTTCTGTCCACATTCTTTACTGTAGCACCTATGAAATGCACACAAAATGTTTGCATATACCAGAACAAGTGCTATATATGAGACTTTAAAAACTGGTATAAAAAATCCCCCAAAACATTTAAAAAATAAATAAAAGTAGTGCATTATTCAGGGCCAGAATACATCAATAGACCCAGCATGCACACAAGCTTTGGTACCCAAAGCAACATCCTTCTGCTATGGTAAACTCTTTTGTATATATTCTTTCTTTTCTGGTCCTATTACAAAAAATACAGGTGTGACTATGTATATATTAGAGGACTGTAGTTCCACTAATGTAGGGGTTGGGGTGGGGGAAAGGTAGCCAATAACTATACAGTTAAGTGTCACCCCTTTGTTTTTGCTACCTATAAGCACTCCTAGGCCCCTCTATCCTGTATTTTATACCTAAACCATACAAAGGTGTCAAAGGATTATTGGATTTGGAAAACTGGAAATTTTGAATTTGGGCATTGTTAATGTCTTAAATAAAAGGCAAGAGCCATAATAAATACTATATTGAATGCAAAATTAGAATAGGAATCAGCCACAGGTAGCAGTACCACAGCAGACGCCACATCATAGTATAATACTCACAGCATGCCAGTGGGGGTGCAGGCCACATAATCTCCTGAGATCGAGACTTTTTACCATCGGCATTCACATAGACTCCAAATGTGGAAAAGCACAGTAAGTATTCGCTAAGGGTAAGCCTTGCTGCACAAAGAGCATCATGGGCAGTCTGTGCCAGAAAAGACAGTTTAGGTTCATCTGGGTGGGGTAGGTTAAATGGAGCTCCTTCATTTAGGAGAGGGTAAAGAGAAAATCCAGAGGAATAGCCAACACAAAGTCTTTCCCCCAAGATGTCCATACACTGCACTACTCCAGGTGCCTGGAACTCTTTAATCTTCCGTGGAGGACCTTTGCGATTTATCAGCTGGAAGCAGTTGACTTGACGCTTGGAAGCAGCACAAAGAACAGCTGTGGAGCCTTGGCAAACTAGACCAGATGTAATAGCCTGACATCCCTTTGCCTCAGGGATCTTCACTCCAGTTGAATCCGGTATTTGGTCCCAAGGGAACAGGCGGACACTGTGGCTCTTTCCACTAAGCACAACCAACTGCTGGACTTCTGAGACCGAGCGCAAGGAAAGTACTCTCTTACAGTCTCCTAGCTGAGTGATTTCTAAAGAAACAATTTTAGAGAAAGAAGTTAATCCATTTTGGTGTACAGCAAAGGTAGTGTTCTGTATGTTTCAGTTCAGATATGAATAGTTATAACATGCATGTCTATCTCACAATGTGCATTCCCTCCCCAACCCATAACCAATATCATAACTGGGAGGATTATGATGTGAGGCCAAAAGGGGCATGCACTGTGCAAAAATATAGTGTTTGTAGTATGCACTGAAATAGTGACAGTGGTTGTGGAACACTGTAGCAAACTGAAGAGTTAAAAATCCGTGCACAAATATAGGGCAATAGTGGTGAAGGAAAAAAAAAAAAAGTGCCCAGCATCAGTGGGTGCACTGGAAGAAAAAAAGTCCCAGTAACTTTGGTGTCCCTGGAATGAAAAAAATGGCCCTGCTTCGGAGGTGTACCTGGGAAGAAAACAATTTTCCTTCGCTGATGATGTCCCTAGGAAAGCCAAATGGCCTGGGTCAGTTAAGTCCCTGGAAGGAAAAAATGTGCCAGTGGTCTCCCTGGAAGGAAAAGAAATCCTTACATTGGTAGTATCCCTGCATCAGTAGTGTCTCTGGAAGGAAAAATGTCCCTGCGTAAGTGGTGTTGCCAAAAGGAAAAATGAAAAATGGTGCTTCATCAGGACACTGGGGAACAAAAGCTCCTCCATCAGTGGTGTCAGTCTGAGCAGGACTACTTGGTATCTATGTAAGTGGGCTGAAGGAGTGAAGGGAAGATGGAATGGGGGCTCTGAGGGAGGAGGTGTGCTGAAGGACTCTAAGGGAGGGAGGAGGCTAAAGAGTTCCTGGAGGGGTTCTGAGGAGGAGAGGGACAATCTAAGGCCGAAATCCCCCCCCAACACTTTGCGTACTCACTGTTCAGACCGCCTTCTACATGGCGCCAACCAGCAATGCAGGCAGTTTCACCTTATCTCAGATTATGTGATACAGTATGTTACATGGCAAGGGGAGAGAGGAAGAATGGGAATCTGCCCTTACTTCCCAGCAGTGCGGTTTTCAAAAATTTCCTTCAATTGTCATTTTTTAATTCTACGTTTGATTTCAGGATGCATATGACAACAATTATGTTTTCTAAAAGAAAATCACATTCTCAGTTGGAATGTTGATTACAAAAATTCCATCCTGCTCTGCCAGTATTCCTGGTCACTAAGGTCAAAATGAATGTTCAATTAAACACCTTGGCTTTTTAAATAAAATTCTACTGGCGTAGGACAAGGTCAAGTGCTAGCTTGGGTTAGGAGTTAGCAGGGGTTATACTGAATATGTACAGTATGTAAACATTCAAGAGTTTAATTCTCCTTTAAGTAAAATTAAAAAGATCACAAAATTACATAAAGCCGGTGTGGGCAGAGGATTCCCCACCCTACTTCGACAGTAGGGGGGGGGGGGGGTGGGCAGAAGGAATTGGAACATGTTACATGTGCCACCCAAAATAATACAGGTGGAACATGCAACATGCTCCAAAAGGTGAACTTATACTTAATATAGAAATTATACATGTAGAACACCTGAGGAAGTCACTTGTACTGTATTAAGGACTTATCTAACAATAAAGCTCCACGACCTGTTGCCTGCCAAGTTCTATAACATCACAGGAGCAACCAACACCATATGGGAAGGGAACAATATATACCCACTGGATCGAAGGCATACTTTAAACTTCTGGATAAGAAAGAGAAAGATCCCTCCCTTCTAGGGTCATATAGACTTTCACCAATAGACGCTAAAATCTTGTCTAAATTTGTGGTGCCATTCGTAACAGATATCCTCCCAAACATTATACACCAATCTTAGGTTGGCTTTGTCAAGGGCAGATCAGCAGTATCTAACATCCAAAAGTTCATAACCTTGGAATATGCCAAATCGTATCCTACAAAGAAACTGGCAATTTTACCTTGGATGCTGGGAAAGCCTTTGACAATATCAGTTTTCACTTGAAAATCAAAACCCAGACAATGCACCACTTTGCCCAAAAATTGTTGCAATTACAAATGTTTATACATTCTCATGTTTATTTCTTTTGTTTGTTTCTCCACTTTTTGCGTCATACCAATACAAAGTCAAATCTGACACATTCCACACAAAACCCCAAAAATGGACTGGACAAAATTATTGGCACCCTAAATTTAATATTTGGTACCACACCCCTTGGAAAAAATAACTGAAATCAAACGCTTCCTGTAACTATCAATTAGTTTTTTTTACACCTCTCTACTGGAATTTTAGACCACGCTTTCGCCAACTGCTCCAGGTCTCTCAGATTGGAAGGGTTCCTTTTCCCAACTGCTATTTTAAGATCTGAACACAGGTTCTTTATGGGATTGAGGTCTGGACTGCTTGCTGGCCATTTTAGTACTCTCCAGCGCTGTGTCTTAAACCATTTCTGTGTGCTTTTTCGACGTGTGCTTTGGGTTATTGTCCTGCTGTAACACACATGAACTCTGATGGAGACCCAACTTTCTGACACTGAGCCCTACATTGCACCCCAGAATTCTTTGGTAGTCTTCAGATTTCATAATGCCATGCACATGGTCAAGACATCCAGTGCCTGAAGCAGCAAAGCAACCCCAAAACATCAGTGAACCTCTACCATGTTTGGCTGTATTCTTTTTTCTTTAAAGGCCTCATTGCATTTTCTGAAAACACTAGAATGATGGGCTTTACCAAAAAACTGTAACTTTGTTTCATCTGTCCACAGCACATTCTCCCAAAAGGATTTTGGCTTCCTCAGGTAAGTTTTGGCAAACTCCAATCTTTTTTAGGCTTCTGTGTCAGCAGTGGAATCCTCCTGGGTCTCCTATCATAGCATCCCTTTTCATTCAGATGGCGACGCATAGTGCAAGCTGACATAGTTGTACCCTGTGCCTGCAGGTCAGCTTGAATTTGTCTGGAATTTGATTGAGGTTCTTTTCCACCATTCAAACAATCCTTTGCTGAAATCTTTGATCAATTTTTCTCTTTCGTCCAAGAGCAGGGAAATTAGCTATGGGCTGTAAACTTCTTAATGTTGCACACAGTGGACAAAGGAACATTACAATCTCTGGAGATGGACTTGTAACCTTGAGATTGTCCATGGTTTCCCACAATTTTTGTTCTGAAATCCTTAGAAAATTCTTTGCTGCTCTTTTTTCCCATGACACACACACGCGCGTTGAGTAAAATTTTCACCATTTTAACTGGTTGCTGGTGTGATTTCTATATTGCCAGCACCTGTTAACTGATACAGGCGAGATTAAATACAAATTATAGGAGCATCACAAACTTGGAATGCAATTATTTCTTACAATTTTGAGAAGGTACCAATAATTTTGTCCAGTTCATTTCTGGGATTTGCGTAGAATGTGTCAAATTTGGCTTTTTGTTTCTCCACAGTTTTGTTTCATACCAATACAAAACAACAGAAATAAACACGAGAATACCTAAACATTTGTAATTGCAACAATTTTCTGGGCAAAGTGGTGCATTATCTGACAGAAATGAAGGGGTGACAATATTTTTGGCTATAACTATATCAGTGATGCCCCTTATCCCCACTTCAATTTAGTGACAGGCCCTCTTCCGTAGATATTTACCTTCAGCAGTGCCCCTCCTTGGGATCTGCATAAGGCATGGATAACTTAGTACTGCTCTCTTAGTAGATGATATACGGAAGCTCAACTCTCCCTGGTCACTGGATATGCCCACAGCACAATTTATTTATGAAAGTTAGCAATTTAGAAAAAGCAAAATATTACCTCTTACACACCAACACAAGGACCGTTGACACAGTTATCTACCTTTGCTATAGGAAAGGATCCCATTACCTATTTTAGGGTTGAAGATAGGTTGAACCACATCCTCACATATAATTATATTTGAATTAACACCATCAGATTGTGAGAATGTTGGGAGAGCTGGATGTATGAGATTAAACTACCTCCTTAACTATTGCCACCTTGTTGAAATGATTAGTTTTGTTAATCTGTTGCATCCATCAAAAACCATCCCAGTATTGATAAAAAAAATATTTACAAAACACAAAATAAAGCCAAGACACGCCTTATTTTACACAAAAGGCCATATCTATTTCTAAATTATTGAGCACCTCGTCCTTCAGTTGGGGTGGAGTTAAATCTTCCAAATATCAGGGTTTATCATTTAGCCAGGCAGGTTGTGTCCCCCAGATCTCCTTCTGTGCTCTGGTTCAGAAATGCCCCATACTTTTCTACAGCTGCAGATCATAAAACGTACTGCAAAGCCAATGGAACTCCTAGGTTCTTCCTTGGCTCTGACATGGCATATGACCATTAAATACAACCCTATTTTCTGAGTCACTATTATAGCATTGTAAGAAATATGCAGAAACAGGGATTCCCCCCATGGATATCTAGATATTAATGCATGGCAATCCTAGATTCCTTCAGAGCATAAAGCTTGCAGCATACACCATCTTGCAACAAACATGTTTAACAGTTATTTTTCCTTTC